CCTGTTCCTAAGATTAAGACATCAAAATTATAATCTAAAACTTGTTTGACATTTGCTTTTTGCACATTTCCCTTTCTTCAATCTGGTATGTGCCCAAGTTGTCAATTCTGTCTGGGTTGGAAGTCACAGTACTGAAGAGTGCCCAGCTGTCGAAAGGGGAGAGATGTGAAGATCAGGGATGCTACTTTTCACGATAGTTTTGTAAATCCAAATCAGTTGGTTACTGGCTTCTTTGTTGTTCATGGGCTGGCTGTTGATGATGAGGATTTCATTTTGTATCCATTGTATTTCGTAAAAATGGTTCAAAATGTCAATTTTTTCATGAAACTTACTGCACTGGAATCCTTTTACAAGGGATTGGCGAGTCAATGGAGCTACAAATCACTACACTATAAAGTGTATCCTGTGAAGTGCTTTGAGATGTCTTCCCAATGTGAAAGGAGCTATATCAAATATCAGGATTATTATATTTATTTATTTCCTTATTGTGCTTGAAATCATATTGTTGTGCTGCAATTCGTCCACTTAAAATCCCATTACTGCAACAATTTGCTTTCAAGCAACAATGACAGGATTTGAAGTCCAAAGGTGATGACAGATTTACAAATAAGGCAATGTCGAGATTTTGGATTTTTAAGTAAGAAAAATGTCAGTCCACAACCCAGTCGCTTTATGTGAACCTTCATTATAACAAAGTGTGTTTCTAATGGGGGTTCTACCATGTGTAAATGTAAGTTATTTGTTTATTCGTCGATCCCCTCTCCCTTCCTCCTTGATAAGAACAAAGAGTGGAGGTCATGGAATTGTCCTTGGTGTCCACTTGTATCCCCAACGGCAATCTTGGGAACATATCCTTGGAGGCTACAAACTGTCTCATTGTCAGCAGTGATGTGATTCAAAACCACGACTTTGTGTTCTCAAGCATTACTTAAGAGTGTCTGTTGTGTGCAGGTGTTTCCTGTTCTCTAGCTCTGAAAATAAATTAATGTAGCTGGCTGGAATGTGAATCTTCTCATTGACATGCGGCACATTTCTGGTTTATGATTAGATGCGAAGCAGAGAGGCTGGTACGGTTGCATTTGCAGTAGATTGCTGAATGTAACGGACGACTACTCAAGATCCACCTGGCTCAGAATCTCAGTTTAAGCTGAAGGTAAGTCTATCTGTGATTAATACTCACCCATGGATCATCTCTGCTTAATCTTTCTTTAAAACAATACAAACATACATTTTTATATTGCCGTTGACATTGGGAGTAAGTCTGAAGGTGCTTAATGATCCTGACTTGGCACCCAAACTGGTGTGGGGGGATGGGAAAGATGACCGAAAGCGAGGCCAAAGAGGTAGGTCTTGAGACAGACCTTGAAAGAGTTGAGGGCAGAAGTAAATTGGAGCGACTCTGGGATGGAAGTTTAGAGAGTGAGGACAGAATGACTGAAAGCTTGACCACAGATGGTGGGAGGGTAGGACTGGGGGGTCATGAGGCACACAATTTCCTGCTGAGCAAAGTAAAAAATTTTTTCAAAACAATCCTATTTCCAGAGCTTTAAACCTCTTGGAGGGTGTGTGAAGAGTCTGGTGTTGCTGTGCCTCATTAGTGGTAATAACTGGCAACAGTCTGTGATCCCAGGAAGAAACATGAGGACATCTCTCCTTATGGAAACCTTTTTAAAATTATATAATGCAACTTTATATATTATATATAAATCTGTATTATAATATAATCTTTCCAGATTTCTATCCTGAGTTCCCAGGAATTTCCTTCTCCCATCTCTTTGGGTTCAATTCCATTATACCTGCATCAAGTAAAGCTTGTCTCCATGTGTATGGCTTTGAGAATTGTATTTACCCAGTGGAAGTGGTCAGGTGGGTGCTGTGGGATCTTTTAAGTCCTCCTGAACAAGCAGATAAGACTCTTGTTAACATCTAATCCAAACATATTGATTTAACTTCACATGTAGGAGGGAAAAAATTACAGAAACAATCATCTACAACAAGGGCGTGAACATATTGTTGAAGACATTTCTGATTTTGTTTCACTTGTAGGTTCTTGTGTAGAGGTTCACAAACTAATGTCTACGTTGGAAGATGCTTTGTGGCTTCACAATGAATTGCATGAGTAAGGCTTGGATCAACCCCAGAAGCAAAATGTATTGTTAAGGTCCATGGTGGCAGGACTGCGAGAAGCTTTTTATGCAGTCAGTGCATTACCAGGACTGAGTTTTGCTGCATGGGGCTGTGTCTGTACTATGTGAGTATGATCAGGCCAATTCTGATAGATGCTGCTTTCTGTCTATGAACTATATGTACTCATTTGTGTCTGTCACAACATTTTCTTTTCTCTTGCCAATTTCCACTGTTTTTCTTCCTCTCCTCTCTCCTGAAGGCATTTCACTCCTTTTTTTCCTCCTCAACTATTATTTGGATATATGAATGCCAGAAGGTGGGGTGGGAGGGTGCGAAGTGGAGATACTCCAGAATGGAGTTCCAGAAAACAGGGGCAGAATGGCTCGATTACAAATAACCTGCAATAGAATGTATAGATGCCAGCTGTCTTTCAGAACCTCACCCTAAGGTTTTTTGCAAGCGAGAGACCTGAGTTCAATTCCAGGCAGGGCGAAACCTTGGGCAAGTTTCCTCACGCCTAATAATAATCTCTCCAAAACCAAAAACAATAATAAATTGGTCATTTTCAATCTACGACTATTGCTTTGGGACATTGCTGTGCGCAATTGGCTGCCGCGTTCGCCCACAAATATATAGTCAATTCACTTTACAGTGTGTTCTGTGAAGCGCTTTGGGACGTCCTCCCGACGTGAAAAGCGCTATATCAAATGCAAGGATTATTATTATTATTATGTGTGAGTTTCATTGATGAGTGTTGCTAGGCTTTTCAGCCAAGGAGAAAAAGGGCGAAACACAATTCCGTCTAACCTTAAAGCCACAAATGCACACTCCAGTATGGAGCAATTGGATAGTATTGGTGTGTAGGATATCCTGGTTTAAACTGATCATCAAGGCCAATAGAAATCAACAGCTAAGATCATCTGACAAAACAACAATTTACATTTATATAGCACCTTTCACACTGGGAGGATATCTTAAAGTGATTCACTCAGCAAGGGTTCGCTGAGGAGGGGGGAAAGATAACCAAAAGCACAGTCGAAAAGGTGGGGAGGGAGGTTACAAGTGGAGATAATGATAATAATAGTCCTTGAATTTGATATGGCATCTTATCACGTTGTTGAGACACCTCACAGAGTATACTGTAAACTGAATTGACTATATTTTGTGGGCAAAACCCAGGGTGCAGTTCCAGAAATGACCTGGAAGTCTGATCCCTAGAAGCTCCACCTATGCTTAGGCCCTCAAATGAGCTCTGTGTATTACATCTTATTGTAACATTAACTCCTGACTGGGAAGAATAAACGAACACATGACAATTATTCTACAGCTGAGAGGTTGATCTTTGGAATTTCTGCACTCACTGTAACTGCTCTCCCGAGTAGGAACAGTAAGACATTTTGCATTTCTTGATGCCTTTCAGTACATTATTTATTTTTTGGTCAGTTCGATGATTAACACCATCCCATCACCATCCTTAAAAGTCTCCAAACCAAACTTTGTAGAATTGTTGGCCTGGCTCATTTGGCAGACTCTCATCTCCTGAGTGGAAGGCTGTGGATTCCAGCCAGGATTTGGGGATCATAGTATAGACTGATACTCCAATACTCCAATAAATTACATTATCAGAAGTGCTGTCCAGTAAAACGTTAAACTAAGTCCTGTCTGCTAGTTCGGATGGACATTAAAAATCACATGACTACTAAAAAAGAAGGATTTTTCCCAGTGACTGCCAGCAATTCTGAGGTTTTAAAAAAAAATTGGTGATTGACTTCATAACTGAGATCCACAATGCTACTAGGGCAGACACATTCAGTAAAATATTGGCATATTAGTTTGTTAGTTATTTATTGCATACAGACAGGAATTGGATTAAATGAAAAGGCATCCTAACACAGAAAGGGCCAAGTGCTATAAAACCAAATGTATTTTCTCCAGAGTAATAATAATCATAACACTTGCATTTGATAATTAAGTAGGGATTATTAAGAATCTTATGCTCAAAAACGAATGCCTACTGTTTTGGAGGAGAAGCAGCCTGTAAGAGATCAGGGTTATTTGTCACAATGAAAATGACCTCGTGACTAGAAGGATGTTGTCACGTGTGTGACAGGTGAGATGAAACTTTGAAGTAATTTTAAGGAGAGATCATTTTACGATGATCTCTATTTTGTTACAAAAAAGAAATTTCAAAGTAAACTAAGATTTTTTTTTTAATTAAAAAAATGGGCCATGGTATGTTCCATATTCTGTTCATTCACGATCCTCCTAAAGATTTATTTCTCCCTCACCCAATATCACAGGCTCATTGATGACACCATGCTCTTCAACTCCTCCCTGGACTGGGATTATTGCTGCACGTTCTGATTTCTTTGCTGCTGTTGACAGCTGCTGAAGCCTCACTACGGCACCAGTGAGTGTAAGTGGTATTTTAAGGCTGATGAGCTGGAGACACTGGGGAAATAATTTCCTTTGATCAGAAATAGTGAGAAGGGTAACAAATCTATTTCAAGATGTCGCGCTGTGTTTCTCTTGAGAATCAAATGAACCACAGTAAAAGCTGTTAAAACATATCTGATAAAATAATTCTCATACTGCTTCATTTTCATTTGAAATGCTTCACAAATAACATTTACGAATGTGTGATTTAAAAAATCTATATAATACACAGTAAAACTTGCATAATACTGATCTGTATAAATTGTATAATCTTAAGTCTACATCTTCCCAAGTCCCGTTAAAGACTTTATATTCTATGTAAGTTTGACATAACTCATACTTTGCATAAGTCATGTTAAATGTATGTATGGTCCCAACTTATACGACTTATGTGAGGTTTACTGTATTATAGCAAAGCATCTTTCCCTGCAGTTGTCATGGATGATGAAGACGGCAGGTGTTTGCTGGATGTTATTTGGTAAGTTCTTTGTTCTTTTATAATTATTTACTAATGTTTTTTAAAAGTTAGAGCTGAAAGGTAAAGCATTGGCTTTTATAGTGCTTGATGGGAAAGCAGCAGCTTGAATGTAGCCTCGAAGCTGGGATGGATATCTCCTGCAGGGAGTCTCCCATGTACATTGCTCTGACCTGCGACACTGCTCTGAGCTGAAGTTTTGCAAGTCCAGATGATCTGCACAGAGATGTATTTTATATCCCACAATACGTTTCCTACCGCTGAGCTGCCACTTTCCAATGAGCACCTTTTCAGGCATTCTTCCCAGTATTTAACTAAATTCGAAATTAGACCTCCATTACTTTGCAAAGCTGAAGCTGTAAAGTTAATTAATTTCACTCGGGTTGTCCTTTTTAAATGATATGTCATACTGAATTAGGGGACTTTTCACCCCCAGGAAATTGAAATCCTGTCTTGAATGTTGAGATGAGATCTTCATGTTGTCAGCCACAGAGATCCTACATTTACTTTGGGTAGTTTCAGGCTTGTGCCTGTTGACACTGAGCCTGCAGAAACATTCCCTAATGTTGCGGGAGCGAATGGCTGCTGAGGGGCATTGAAAATTCACATGGATCCAGCTTTGGGCTGTTCTTACTCTTGCTAATAACGGTCTTCTAATTTGCTATAACGCCTGATGTTATCGAAATGTCTCCATGTGTTTCACAGCATTTACTGGAGTAACTGTATATTTGTAGGAAAACAGTCTGGCTAATTTGTCTCACAAACATTCTTGAGGTGAATGATCAATTTTATCGGTGGGGATTGGGGGGAAAACTATTGACCAGTAGACCAGGAGAAACTCCTTTATCTTAATGACATGGGATCTTTAACACCCACTTAAACAGGCAGATCAAACCTATGTTTAATGTCTCAACCAAAGGATGGCATCTCCAGTAAATCACTGCATTACAGTCTTGACTAAGTTGAACCCTTTGACTTAGAGGCGAGAGTATTACAGACTCAGCCAGACTGAAGTGCTTGTGTTTTGGAGCAAAACAAGCACATTTACATTTATACAGCATCTTTCATGTCAGGCGAACAGTCCAAGCAGATGAGAGAGAGTTTAACCCTGCATTCAGTATTCGCACCTGGCAGCACCTACATCAGTGGATACCAAATACAAAATTGATGTTTCATTCCCTAGCAGCCAAAAATTGCCATCAGGAATTGGGGAGTTCATAAAGGAATTAATTATTTGGATATCAGTTTTGCCGCTGTCATTTCACATTTTTTGCAGCAACAATACTAGTTATCAACTTGTCAAAACTAGATGTTTCTTTTCAACTGTAGACTGTACTTGCAGAATCTGTATGAACAAAGTAGTCATGTTAACCTTACTGTATATAAAGACTGCAACTATTCTTTTTTAAGGTATTTTAAAATCTCACAGTTCCTTTACTGGGGTGTGAGTCACTGTTGACTCTGATCCAGTCGTGCACGTACTCACACACTGGTAGGATTCTCAAGTGAGAAGCAGGAAATCTAGTTGACCTAGCATTAGTTCAGAGGCATGTCTTGTACCTTGACAAGTGATCTAGCTGAAGTCGATCAACACAACACAGTCCAGAGACCAAACCTAGCATCATACCAAATGGTCCTTTTTCCCTCTGAGGATTATAATATTAGTGGATTTTAAAAGTATACCATATTTGATTTAGTAATATTCTGCTTTACTTTCCAGCGATCCTCAAGCCCTGAATGACTTTCTGCACGGATCTGATAAGGTTAGCAAACAATCCTTCAGTTTTCAGTAGTTTTGGTGAAGTAATTTTACATCAATGATGAAAAAAATTAAGCGATTTGTAATTTTTTTATAGCTTATTGATAATGATGACATTGTCAATATGCTACAAAATAGCATATTGTAGCATATTGACAATGTCATCATTGTCATTGATGTACGTTAAGGATTAATGCAGGTGATACGACAGTTTCCTTTTTTGTGGAGTACACAGAAGGTTCACTTTTATATTGTTTTATAAATAGGCAGGTTCAGGCAGCTTGGTAGAACAACTGGTTTGATTGTTGGCTGTGCCATGCTATCTAAGTGGTGGAGCTTGGTTTATACCTAGAAATTTAGACTTTATTCTCTTCCCTCAAAGAGGAATAGAAAATACAGAAGAGAATAAACTCACTTCCTTTTAGTTGAATATGCAGAGCTTTTGTCCCCATTAGTGTCTGCGGTTTATGGTTGTGGCTGCACATTGCAAGTAACTTCACATTGGATAGAATTTGTGAAGCTGAAACTAAGTAAAGCAGATAAAAATATTCCCAGTTTCTCAGTTGCAAACATGATTTTTTTAACATTTTCTATAATGTTAGTTTAAGTACAGGTGATCAATATGTATGTTTACCCAACTGGTAAGTGTTAACTCAAGCTCAATATTTTTTTAAACCTAGACCTTATCCAAATGGAATGTATCTCACTGGTGTGTAAACCAGTTTTTGGTAGGGTCGTCCTGAAGCTCAGATCATCCATCGTGTTTTTGGATCATACACTGGATCAGCCAGTAACAGGCTGGGCTTGCCACAAATGGAAACTTTTGCTTTTGGATCATGGATGGATGTTTCCTGGGGAAATATGTATGTGTGTGTGTAGGCCAGTCCATCATTTGCTAGCCAAAAAGTAGCAGCTGCTGGATACCCTTTGGATGCAATGGTTCTGCTTCAGTGGCTAATGTCGAGCTACTATTGTTGGCAACAATGAAATGCGAAAGAGGAATGAGAGCGCCACGACCAGCTTTGAGGAATGACGTTTGCTTAAGACCAGGTCACAAACTATTTTCTCAACCATGGAAAGGAAAATTGATCCCCAAAATAGTTTGGATGAAGAAGGCCATTTGGACCATTGGCCCATCTGATCTCATCCACCCAAGCATCCTCCCATCACATGAAACAGCTTTTTAACTAAGTTCAGTGTCCTGAGTGGAAGAACTGAAAGAGGAAAGAAAATAGCTGCAGAATAGGTAAATAAAGAGCAATGGGGAATTGGGTTGGCTTTGGATTTCCATAGGTGACTTATGATTATTCTATACTATAGAATTGGAAGAGAATTGTTTTTCAATAATTATGAAATAATTTTTATTTTGCGATTTCTTGAGGTAATAAAATGCTTCCAAAGCAAATAAGCGTATCTATTTTTGCTACAGGGACAGATAGCAGCGGTTGGTGAAGGGAACACTAGCCAGATACAGTCGAACACAAGCTGCGTTGACCTCTTTTTCCTTGAAGATGATATCCTTGGGTCACCAGCTAATTCCAGCGTTCAGCAAAATTCAGATGAACCCTGTGATATCTTGCAGCAAAGTTTACAGGAGGCCAACATTACACAGCAAACGTTGCAAGAGGAGGCTGACCTGGCAGCCAATGTGCTGCAGGCGCAGCCTTATTCTCAATTGCACTCTGCGACCCAGGTGACCGAAGAAACCTTACAGCTTTTTGGCAGTGGCAGCACGGACATTGGTGGATTAGCCCAGCAACAGCCACCTGCTATAATCACACAACAGCCTTTGCTTCAACAACCAGTCAATGCCCAGTTTGTTAACAAAACCATTAGCGTTCAACGTTTAATTCACCAGGTTGGACTAAACAGCATAGCAATAACACCTATAGCCAGTATTCAGACCAGATCCAATGGTAGCCCCAGAAGAACTAGCATTGGACAAATTCAAATGGTCGATCAGCATGCTGGTCAAACTGCTATGATGTCCATTGGTCAACATCATCAGCAGCTGATTACCAAATCTGGCCAGTCAGCCCAGATGACCACTCTTCCTCCAGGGAGTTATCTATCTGCACCAGGTGTTGACCAGCAGTTGACAGTAAACTCATCCATTTCTTCGCAATTCCAAAAGAATGTCGCTGGCACCAATCTAAATGGCAACTCTCTCTTTGCAAATGTCACCCAAGCATCCCAGCAGGTGACTGTTAGACCCACTATCAATAGTCAGGTGATTCACACCCCAGTGTCTGCCCAAAATATTATTCAAAAGACTCCTACTCCAATTCAGCCAAAGCACCGTGTGAATATCCAACCCAAACTCATTCAGATAAGTCCAAAGCCTTCATTTAGTCCAAACTCTTCTACTCTTCAGACAGCATTAAAGCTTCAAACTGAAGCTGCACTACAGCAACAGAAAGCCCAACAGAACTTGACTTTTGTAGCCGGGACACCAAGTCAGAATGTCCTATTGTCAACCCAAGGCCCAACGGTTGCTCAAAGTATTTCCGCAAACCTTATCAAGCAACAACCACAGCAGGTTCAGCCAAATGTGGGAAAGCCAGTCAGTGTTCAAGTATTGAACCAGGGAGGTAGTATAGTGATCCAGCCTCAGTCAGTTCCTCAGGCTGTGATGCCAGGTACAAACCAATTCATTGTACCAGGGCAGCTAACCAATACATCCGGAGTCGCTGTTCCTCACCAACTCTCTGCAATTCATGGAGGACCTATTTTAACAGCCCAAAGTACAGCAAAGCCGAATCTCCCAGGACAGGCAGCAACTACTCATATTATTGGGCGACAGGTGGCTTCTAGTCAATTGGTCACCAATCAGTCCTTACCTGCACAGATCCTGACTGCCCAAAATGTTGCAGGACAATTGACAAACTTTAGCCAAGTCTTTGCAGCACCAAATGCACAACTGGCAGTAGGCCAAGGAACCACTCACATATTATCTGGACCTCTGCAGTTACAGCCTGGTCAGCTGGCTCAGCCAACGTTATTTCAGATGCCTGCTCAGCTAAGTGGTAACTTCCCCGCACAGTCACAAACTTCTGGCCAACCAACTCTTGTACAGCAAGGCCAAACCATAGTGCAGGGTGTTCCAGTGCCAAATCAGATAACTGTGCTGAACAACAGTGGCCAGTTAGGACAGTCCATGAATGTCCAGCAATCGGGTGGTAATTCTTCAAGCACTAATATTGTGCAGAAACAGCCATCCAGTGATGCAGAGCTACCGACGATGGGTAACGGGCAGCCACCAGTACTCATGATCCAGCAGGCACAGGTTCAGTCTCAAAGCCAACCGCAGCCACAAACCCAGTCTCGGTCCCAATCAGGAGATATTCAACAGCCCGTTCAGTTGTCAGCTGCAACACCAAGCAACACTGTGCCTGAACACTCAGAAAAAGTCATTATTAACCAGCAGGGAGTGGGCTCAGCACTTAATGCTGATCAGCTCTTGCTTTTCCAGCAGGTAAACTTCTCTTGGTATTTTTTTCAGCAGAGATTAGTTTACATTTACATTCCATTTAAGTTTTCAATTTCTAACGAAGTAATATTTGTTCAGCAAGGGATTATTATTATTAATACTAATATAATAATATTAATAATCCTTGCATTTGATGTACTACCTCTCAAGGCACACTGTAGTGACTGTGTATTTGTACACGAATGTGACAACTGACCTGCACACGGCAATATCCCAAAAACTGTCATGAAGGGAATGCCCAATTTTATTTTCACGAATTGTGGGCACTTGGAGAAACTCTCTTCTCTTTTCGAATAGTGAGATTAGGAGTTAGCAAATGGGAGATTAGGAGAAATATTTTTACTCAGTGTTGTTAAGATGTGGAATTCCCTCCCGATAACATTTTTCAAGGCAGGATCCATAGGAATAATAATAATTCTTGCATTTGATATATTGCCTTATCACATCGTTCGGACATCTAAAAGTGCTTCACAGAATATACTGTAAGTGAATTGACTGTATATATTTTGTATAATAACTTTCAAGAGGGAACTAAATAGACATTGGGGAAAAAATAATTAGCATGGGTGTGGGAAGAAGAATGGAAGTGAGACTAAATAATTTGCTTTTTCAATGATCCAGCACAGGAACAATGAGTCAAATGACTCCCTTCTATGCTGTAAATTTCTATCATTCTACAGTTGCAGAGGCCACTTCTGTTCTGGGATGATTGGATGATTCTTTACCTGACATCAATCAACCCATGTCGTAATTGACATGGGAGTGATTGATGTTGAAACATGCTGCCCGACATAGGAATGTTATCCCCTCCCAGTTTGGTTAATGATTTGGTGAGCACAAAAATACTTTAGGATGCACTGATTTAACTAACACTGCATTACCACACTGTCATCAATGAAGAGGAATAAGTAACTAAAATGCACCCTGTGAGTAAACCTATATCGTATCACAGAACCAATCAGTTTTAACTAAATAAATGTATTCAATTGAAGATAGATTCTCTAGTTTAAAAACTAATTGATATTTGTCTTTACAGAAGGAACAAAAGCAACAACTGCTTTACCAGCAGGCGCTGAAGCTCCAGCAGGAGAAGGGCCTATCACTAAACTCTTCCAATGGCTTGGCAGCACCTATCACTGCTAACAGCATGTCAGCGTCTGTCCTTGTCAGCAGTGGGATTGGATCAGCAGTTCAAACAAACAGCATTCTTGTGCCAGCCAGCACTGTCTTAATGGAATCCAAGAATCGAGCAGTGTTACCTCAGATGCAGCCCAGTCATTTCCAGCCAGCTTTGGCAAGCCAGGTATGAATCCATTCCAGTTTGTAGTGGCCTTAACTACGCTCTTAAGCATTTACTTTTGTAAAGCTAAGCCGGTAAGAATTTCAGCAATAAACCCTGTTGGAAAGGATGGGAGTTTTGTCACTAGGCTTGTTGAAGCCTAATCTATACTCAGTTAATGCAGCTCCGACTTAATGTTGTTAGTTTTTCTTCAACCAGGATGATTTTCAGGGTCAAGAGCTTCTCTGTGGCCTCAGTTGTTTGTGTTTAGCTGGTTCACCTCCCCCCCCTCCCCCAGCTCGGAGTCAGGCTCCACCATTGTTAAACGCTATAGAAGTGCAAGTTGTTGTTGTGGGAGGTGAGCTGAGCTTCTATAAGCAGATGAGTCTGCTCTCTGATACCAAGCATTTTCATCTTGCTGTAGAGTGTTCAATCTGTATAGTGAAGCAGAATTGGACCATGGAGCGAAGTCCGTGTTGACTCCTGACACTCTTAACGTTGAAATTGAAAGGTTATGCATTGAGGCATGAGTCTAATTGAACTCATGGTTTGTCTGATGTGAGTAAAGCTGAATTCTTTCTATTCGTTGAGGTTGAACGCTGAACTTGATATTTTTAAAATTTCAGGTTATTGTCACTTCTATTTGTTTTGAAAATGTTTGTTGATAAGCTTGGAGTTATGCAATTTTTATTTGCTGTGCTGCTGATTTCTTCTTAGGTTAACTTTGACCAGTTTGCATATGCAATTTTGTTTGCGGGGTAGAAAATTGAGTTTAATTGATAAGGATCCATGCACTTTGTGGCAAGGTTACACTGTCATTTGCTGTTGTTAAAGTAGTTTAGGTTAAAGCTACTTGTTAAACAAGTTTCTGTGTGTGTTCATGAAAATGAGATTGTTTGGATTCTTCACACAAGCACTCCAAAATGCTGTCTCATGTGAAGGGTGCTATATAAATGCAAGTTGTTGGTTTATGCATATGAAGTTTGATTCTAATTGGTTTGGTGTATTTTAGATGACAGTTTATCTCAAGCAAAGTTGGAAATACAATGTAGCATTCTGACTGACTCTCATCCTGTAGACTAAGATCCATACACAAATCAGAGTTATGCATACCATTTCTTGAGGACTTTTATAGTGAAATCAACAGGAATCAACTGTACGCTTCTGTACAAGCACCTGGTGTCTATTATAACTTGACTCAAGAAATCCAAAATGCATTTGCAGCTTCTATGGCTAATTATGGCTTCACAGTTGCGAGGAACTTACTTATTAGAGAATCTACTTTGTGTGCCATCCGCCGCTGTAATGTTGTGAATAGTGACAGGATAATGAAAATGAAAATGTGTGTTAGTTACTGTATCACATTTTTATCTGTCAGTGAAATTGGAAGGCCCCAAGAACTTCACTGGCTTCTTTTTATTCTAGTTAATTGTAACTGACTTTTCTCAGCCTGATTTAGACAGTGAGAGTTTAGAAAATTGTCTTTGGGCCACGTGGGCACTTTTTACTTTAGTTTCATCCTTTTAAACTCGTTCTTTTTGTATGGTAAACATGTGCTGTAAGACATTGCGCTGGAAACATTAAGTCTGCATGGTGGGTTGTATGCGCATTACAAGGAGCAATGAAATGGCACCTTAAATTAACTCAACATCTCTTATATTTGTGTGTCAGATGGTTAAAGTGCGCTTTGAAGTCTGATTTCCTACTCTCTAGTTATCGATTTGGAGGGGAAAAAATACTTAAATTAAAAAACTCCGGACCCCACTAGTCAGGTCTTGACCTGAATAAAACAGTCACAAACAGTGCTGAGAAGAACTATGGATTTATTAGAGAATGTACATTGCGTGCCATCCGCCGCTGTAATGTTGTGAATACTGACAGGATAATGAAAATGTGGGTTACTGTATCACATTTTTACCTGTCAATGAAATTGGAAGGTTCCACCTCACCGCCCCCCCCCCCCCCCCCGGTTCAGAGTCAGGCTCCGCCACTGTTAAGCGCTCTGAGACGCTACCTTGCTGTTGTTGCTGATCAGCAGTGTGGTGTATTCAGACACACCATCCAAGCTCCAGTGCAGTTGGCAACCAGAAGCTTGATTGTCCAAGCCCAGGGCAACGCTCACTGCAGCCTCAGCTAACCGCACTCCTACAGCTACCTCCTCTGCTTGGGAAACCCCACTAGAGAGGATGGGAGCCAGAGAGTTGGCGCGGGAAGGAGAGATGATCAAAAACATGTAAATCTTGAGATGGATGTTGAACGAGGTGAGGGATGGAAGAAGCCAGGGAATTCCAGAAAGCAGGGACAGAAAGCTAAAGAAAGTGAAACGAAGTAACCCATCAGACAGGAGAAGAAAGGAATCGACAGAACAGTAGAATGAGCAAGATACCTTGCTAAATATCAGGAGACGTGAACTGAAAGACGGACTTGCAAAGATTTTAAAGGATCACATAATAGTCCTTTCATTTCCTCCAATTATCATGCTTGCTTTACATTTGTAGTGGAGAGGGTTTTAATAACTAGTCTCTTGTATTGAATTTTATGTAATACTATGCAATTTCCAACTCTTGTATGATTCAAAGCTGTTTTCCTGCCTGAAGGCAAACACGGAGACTTGTTCAAAGTTGTCTCATATTGATATTGTAAACAAGGTGCTTACTGTGAAATGCTCAAAGAAACAGTTGAAGCTCCCAATGACCTGAACGCTTTGGCTGATGAACACTAAGTCACACCAACTGGATTGCAGGTTCAAATCCCAGTTTGCATTCAGGCAGCTGATACCCGCAGGTGCAGAATTTGAGGCTGCAGTGTACAGTACATTCCAGCCTGGGTTAGGGAGGGAAAAATAAGGCAGCACTCCCAATCCTTATCACTGTCTCAGGCTATCTGCTGGAAGATGTGATATGTGGATTTGGGGTAGGTTTGGACTTGAGTGCCATGTTTTGTGGATATGTAGTCTGCTGAACACTGTCATGTGTGACAGATAAATAATTTGGACGAAGGGGGGAATCTCTGGGCCCACTGTCGAACACCCCATCCTTTCCCACCGCCTCTCTCTGCTCCACCTTCACGGTTCTGTCCTATCCTGGTTTTACTTCTAGATGTCCCAACATTTCCACTTTGTCTTCTCCTTCCAACAGCGCACAGTCACGTGTGATGTTTCACAGGGCTGTATTCTCGGTACTCTCCTCTTCACCATCTATTTGCTCCCATTTGGTGACATCATCTGTAGACACTTTCATATGTATGCGGATGACACCCTTCTCTCTCTCCCCCCCCACAACTGTTCCAACTGACATCAAATCCTGGATGAGCTCTAACTTTCTTCAGTTGAATGTTGACAGGGCAGAGACTCTCCTACTTGCTCCCCATCAGTGCCTCTTCACCTCAGGCACTGAGTATCAGCCTGAATGGATGCACGTTCTCTTGCAGAGCCAGTGCGGAACCTCAAAGACGTGTTTGGGCCCAACTATCCTTCATCCATGCTCTTACCCGCTCAGCTTTCCCTCACTTCCGAAACATTACTTCTCCCCTGGGCCTCTGAAACACTCATCCACGTTTTCATCAAGTACAGGTTTGACCTCGCCGCCACCCTGTTCATTGGACCCCCAGGCTTTCCTAAGCAGAACATCAAGAACTGCAGCCCGTGTTCTCTCCTGCACCAGGCTCTATGAGCCTATTCCCCCCCGCCTCCCCATCCTTGCTTGGTTCCATTCCCGAGTGGATTAAGTTCAAGATCCTCATTTTGGAAAAGATACCATGATTTTTGATGAAGGTGCGGAAGCCAAATTCATTAATGTCATTTTACATATGGTTTGATACAGTACCTCAATCAGTGATGCTATCTGCTCTTTTCTTCAAAGGGAGCTAAAGCCCAGAGGTACAACTCCATTGTCACTCTGCTCACTCTTGTCACCATTTAATCTTTGTGAATGTGTCGAATTTTTCTGCTGTAGGGGCACTCGGTGCCTCTCACGCTCTCTCTTTCCCAACTAAGAATTATAGGTGTGTGATTTAATTTCAGACTTGCAATTACTGTCTGCTCTGGTTTACGATGATGGTTTTAGCAAGGAAACCTTGTTGGTAGTTGACAGGAATTCAAAGTACTTTATACAATGACCACGAGTTACCCATAATTCTTCTAGTCGCTGGGGAGCACTTGTTAATGGAGTCCAGAGTGTGCTTGCCAAAGGAATAAGAAGCAGCCGTGGACCGTTGCCACCCATTAAATGGAGAGAAGCATGAATATTGTGAAAGGAATGGCATCTCCTCTGCCACTTGGTTCCTCTTTAACTTCAGTGCAAACGGACAATTGGTTATAATTCTGTCTTCCACCAGAGTCGGCGACTGTGGTTGCTGTGGATGGCAAAGTGTTGCCAGATAGTTCTGCAAGGACAGCCTCTCCACAACCGCAAGGGAAGGTCCAGACTATTCATTTAAAACCACTTGTCCAGCCACAGCTTCAGTCTACTGGACAGGTAAGGAATCGTCTGGAGAACACTTGCGAGCCTTGTTGGTGTTTTTCCTAAATTTCAGTTCAATTGTGCATCCTTTTTCGGTGCCACCCTCAGTGAGAGACCATTTGCTTAGCTTCACTTTGATTAAGATTGCACGCTGCCATACCTTTCACCTGCTTCCTTTTTCTGTTCTGTAGCTTCGGCTCCAAGCAAAACCTATTTCCCCCTCTACCTTCAACCCAAATAGCGTTGTCTGCATGACCATTGAAATTCTCTACGCTTTTATGAAAGCCTCAACAAATCCCTTTCCCTGATGGCTCAGTGGCTAAAAACATCACTGAGCGATGCAGAGGAGAAGGTCCCATGTTTGAATTCCGACACGTGCTGGGTTAGCTGATCTCATCAGGGTTATAATTGACCCAAGCAACCCCTCACTTACGGAGTTACCATTGCTATCAGAGACCCTTACTAAAAGGAACTAATGTTTGAACATCATGTGATAACTGGAGCTCCCTTATGGTCGAAGAGCCAACCAACATCAAGGCTCACACATGAGTGATGACTATTTGGACTTAGAACCAGGGAACTTCCTATGCCTCTGTTTGAATGAAAAGGATGTCAAATTCCTTCAAGAGAAGTGACAAAATTGGACAAGAAAAATTGGCGAAAGAACAAAAATCCTCAGAAAATTATCACTTTGGGAAGCAGTTTTGTAAAACAGCCTCACAAAATATCTATCTACACCTTAAGCTTTGTTGCAATGATCGGATTTTGTTTGAAACATTTTGCTACTCGCCTTGTTTGGCTTTGATTTGTTTCACAACCTTGATGCCGCAGTTTGAGGAGAATGCTGGAGGAGATTAAATGCGTGTGACAGAACAGATGAGGTTAGTTCACTGCCAAAAGCAAGTGCAAAATCAAATGGATTGGAATGTTCAAGAAGTTTATTTTATATAGGAATATACATAGAGGGTTTCTTACATATTTCTGTTTGTTAGGCAAGGTTTTGGGCATTCTGCAGCTTTGGATTGGTGGTGGTTGTGATGGGAAGAGGTGTTCATTGGGTGCTGTATTGGACAGATTGTTCTGTGGAAGTTTGTGAAGGTAGTGGGTGTTGATTGGTTTTGCCTTTTGTAGCCATGGGAGAATAGTTCGGAGGTGGTGTAGGATTGAGTACAAAAAGCAGTTGAGTCAGCTGGTGCTGCTCTGCTCCAGCCAGAGTCTACGCATCTGTTGAATCATCTGTTTTGACTGGCATATATCCCCAGGTGCTTGACTTCACATGTTTGCTGTGCATGAGCAGGGGGTTGGGAGGGGAGGAATGTTGGCTTGTGCCAAATGTCAGCTGAGACCTCACTGAAGAGTTTGGCAGAAAACCAAGTATGCACTGGGTAATGCTAGTAGCCGAATAAACTCTTATGATGGCCCATTGCTTCTCAGATCTTAAACATTTGCAAAACATAATTTTGATTGGAGCCTTGCTTTGATGGATTAGAAGTCTCATCATCTGTATACCCATCATGTAATTTGTGGACTTTTTGCCAAGGCTAAGTATTTTCAGAGCACTCTAACTGCTTTTACTGTAATTCCTTGATGGGAATGGGTTTGAGTCCTGTCACAGCCACATGTACTGTTTGAAGCTGGGAGTTTGTACGAGACCTCTGAGATAACAGTCACACAATTCTGACACCAAGCTTAAATAACAGAGTACTACAGTGAATAGATTGGAAGAGTGATCTAAAATATCAGGAAATCCCGAACGATTATGACTTTATTTTATCCAGCTTCTCTAAAGTATGTTTTTAAACTGGTAATCCGACATGGGCATCAAACTGTTCTGTACAGATGTATCCAATGTAAAGCTTGCATGCTAGAAAAGACCCCGTATTCTCTCACTCTGCTTTTTATCCTGTCTGTCTTTTCTACATTGAAGCTCATGGATACAGGGAACATATTTCTGTTCACATCTTCAGTTGTCTTTAATTGGGACGTCCTCTTGACATGAAGGATGCTATACAAGTGTAATTTGTTGTTGTTGTCCTCACTTGTTTTTCATTATGAAGATTCTCATTTCCATCCTTTATTGGGGAGGAATGCGAACAGTTCAGACAGTTTCACACTTTCAGCCTGTAAAACTCTCACTATTTGCTCAAAACGCAAAATATTGCAGATGCTGGAAATCTGAAAACAAAAACAGAAGTCGCTGGAAACACTCAGCAGGTCAGACAGCATCTATGGAGAAAGGAAAGTTAGTCACATATCAGGTCCACAACCTGAAACCTTGACTCACTTTCCTTTCTCCATAGATGCTGTCTGATCTGTTGAGTGTTTCCAGTGACTTCTGTTTTGTTGTCACTATTTGCTCCCCTCGTTAATAATAATGATTGATTTTCTTTTCTTTGTTACTCCACGCATAAAGCCTGGCTAGTTCAAATGCAGCTAAATTTCCGGGTGAAGCTTTCAATACCTTTTCATCCTTTAACCACGTGCTTCTTCCCTACTTATAAACAAAGTCTTTCTCCTATGAGTTCATTTGGCTTGAAAAAGACACAAATAAGTGACTAAAATAGTACTGGATGTGCCACCATACATTGAAAGTCATCAGTTCCTCAAGGAAAGAACCACTCGCCATGGGCGTTAGCAACCAGCAAACACATGACCACCGGGGTACAAAGCAAATGCTTTCAGATATCACATGCATAACATCTGAATTGTGCTTATCTCTTGTTTAGTTCTGCTTGTTTAGTTTGTTATTGTTCATTTTTCTGTTTTCGTGTGCTAATCTGTTGAACTTGATCTGGGTTTGCGTAGTAGTGACAAATTGGGAGTACCAATATACAATGCCATAGAATTCCTTCTTACTAAACCAGGCTCCAAGTGTGTCAGTCTTGTAGTGGGAAGACACTGTAACAGGTTAGGAAGCACTGGAGATTGAACTTCCAGCTTGAAGCTTGCCTCGCAGGATTGAGAAGATTGTGTGTGCTTCCGTGGGGGTCTTCATAATAATAATAATCCTTGCATTTGGTACAGTGCCTTTCACAATGGGAGGACATCCCAAAGTGCTTCATAGGATTCACTGGAAAGTGGAGTGACTGTAATTGAGGATGAACGCAACAGCCAATTTGCACACAGCAATGTCCCACAAACGAACTATGCAGTGAACGACCAATTTTATTTGGGGATTGTTGGTCAGGACACCGGGAGAAACTTCTTTCTCTTTTCGTATACTGCTATGGGATCTTCTGAAGGACGGCACCTCCAACAATGCAACACCCTCCCACCCCAGAAATGCATTAGCGTGTTGGCTTAGACTATGTGATTCCAAGTCCCAATGTCCCCCAACTTTCTGACTCAGATGTGAGAATGCTACCACTGAGCCAGGCTGACACAATTAATTTTTTTTGCTAGTTGTGCTAAGAAATGTGTGAAGAAATTGGAGAATTGCCTGTAATCATTTTTATTAATTAAAGACATTGTGATGCTCTCGATATGTGTTTACTCAGGAAGAGCACAACCTGCAAATTAGACAAAGCAGTTTCACCAATGGGCCAAAACAGTAGATCAACTGCCAATCTTCCAGATAACTACAGACCCACCTGACTTTTTCAAATGACTCTTTGGAGACACTTCAACCTCAAGGAGACCTCGCTTACCCTCTCTCTGAAGAGTAATTGATAAATACTTATTTTATTGCCTTCATAAGGTTGAAAGATCCACTGAGCCTCTAAATCAAGATTTTCATTCCAAGTTCTCACCTAGCTAACCTCCCTGAATGTTATCTTGGGAGGACCGGAGAGCCGTTATAATGAGGGGAAATTACAGATTAATTGACCCAACAATGAAACAGATGTAATTTTTTATGGAATTTTTGTTATCACTTTGTAATCCCATTGGTTTTTTTTTTAAAACGATATCTTTCTGGTTTGATTTTAGGCAATGCCAAGTATGATCAGCAACATCTCAGGCTTGAATGTAACGCTTGGAAAGAGTCCAATCCAGATCCAAGTAGTTGGCAAAGGGATTGCCCGCATTGCTCCTGTGGGAAGTGTACAATCGACACTGGTTAGTATATCTTCTCAGTATATCCTCTGTAAGGACCTTGCTGTCTCCTTGCTTGCTACGATTCTAATAATATTTGCATTTGATGTAGTGCCTTATCACGTCATTGAGACATCTCAATGCACTTCACAGATTTTAATGTAAAATGTAGTGATTGTGTATTTGTGATTGAAACGAATATTAATTCACACTATATTAAACACTATATTTGATGCAAGTAATAGGAAGCCTGATATTTGAAAAAATATCCTTCTGAAATATGCTTATTTGTATTGTGTTTTGTTTCCTAGTTTCAAGGTCATAACGGGAATCTTAAAAGGCCATTACCCACCACTCGACACAGAGGAGACTTGTAAGTGTATGTGCTCCTTTGGCACAGATCATGTTCGACAGCTGAGTGTTCCCAAACATTGTACATAAATGGTAGATAACAAAGAATTTAATTGTTTTTAATAAGAAAAAAAATGATGGGCTCGTTTTGTAACTGTTTCATAGGTAACAGAAAATTAGCTTTACTGTGATTGCAAGGCAATCTGCTAACTCAGGGCTACACAAGATCAACCCAGATTCCAGTGATTTCTGAACTTGTAACTGACTTTATAGCCTTGCGTAATTCCAGAGTATTTGTTGTATATATTGTAAACTTCTCAGTCTATTTATTTTACTTTGGAGTCTTTTTCCTCACTCTTTACTGCCAGCATATTCCATGTTGGTATCCAATGAGACCTGCAGTAAAGGTTATATTTGTGGCATTATCATTTTAAGTTTATTCGAAATAATCTGTAGATCATCATCAACAACAACAACTTGCATTAACATAACGCCCTTCACACAGATAGTGTTCAGAGTGATCATTCTCAGGATGTAAAATTACCACATTATACTGCAGTTTATTTCAAAATAATTGACTCACATTTCAAGGATCTTTCTCACTTAGAGCTACCAGTATTTTATCTAAATCGGAGGATAGTTTTGGTTTTGATTTTTGAAACACTCTGTAGTTGTGCAGCTTGTGTAAGGTTTTTTTTTTAAAGTTTATTGTGTCTCCATTGCCCTCCAATGGGTCCTGCTCATTCTGATGCAGCCCTGTTCAGTCAGGTGGGTCAAATGGTCGGGTTTGGGTTTGGCAGGAAAGAGTATAGTCCAAACAGTGCCAATTGGACTGTCTTGTCTGGATATGGAATGCTTTATTTGGCATCGGCTCATCTCATGGTGTGTTTCGGAACGCATGAATTCACTCATTGCCCCACGTGAGTCTGAGTCAAGATGAAATATTTCCCAATGGGAAAGAAGGGGGGATTGGCTGTGTGGCTATCATGAATTCCCATCTGACCTGATTACAGATTAGCATTGATGCAATCGGTTATGTTGCCCATTGTCATGGGCAAATGATAACTACAAAAGGTTTCTATGTGGCAAAGTGTCGGGCATACTTATTAGGATATTCAGAGAGAAGTAAAACCAATCTGGTTTATGAGATCAAACTTGTTGAGCCAAACCCATTCCTATTATTTTATAAACCAAGAATGATGCCCAGTTTAACTATTGACTAATAATAGTAAATAGTAGATACATATTACGAATTGAAAGCACATAAGTATGTTCTTGTACATGCAGGTTACTTGAACAGTTCTGCAAAGACCAGAATTCCTTCATGCAGCCTGATTGCAAAACTGCATTCAAAACCTTTGAGGATACAGTTTTCAGTCTTCTGCCCTATCATGTATGTAAGGGGATGCTGCCTTCTGAAGAAGATTTCAAGAAAGGTACTTGTCCAACTGTCCTTTTAAAGCTGGAAACAGATTCTGAACTGATTTGGATTTCTATTATCTATTCTCGACTAGGGGCCGAGGAGAGCATGTTATAATGAGCTCTGATGACAAGCGTCAGTTTTGTTAAAGTTCGTAAAATGTTGTTCAATTTGCTGGCTCTTTTAATAACATTAAAAATATGGTTGAATAAAAATTCAGTGAGCCGAGCACTTTTCAACAGATATTTTGTATTTTAGTGGCGGGCAATTGATTTGTATGACCTCTGTTTATACTTTTATATTTATATTTTTATTTTTTCACACAGCGGTCACTTAATAGTGGGCAAGGGCAGGAACCTTGGCTGATATTTTCTCTGTGTTGCCCACCCCCCATTCTACCTAAGGCCACAATAAATATATTCAGTTTGTTTACTTTACAATTGGAGCACACCTGAAGTATACTTAAAGTTGTGGCTTGGATGGAAGACATCCAAGTGATCTAAATTGCTTCCAGTGTTTAATTTGAATACTGTGTGAGATTTGTTGCTGCATTTACCTTTGTACTTTGTAGCTGATAGTCTTCTCTTATTGTGCTCTCGCTCAGTGGATGACGAGTTTGAGGCAGTATCGGCCCAGCTTCTGAAGCGTACACAGACCATGCTTAACAAGTATCGGCTGCTGCTCTTCGAGGAATCCAGGGTAACCTATTGGAATTCTAATTTTCTCCTCATTTCTCTGCTGTCTTGTCTCCTGAAGGACTTAGTTCTTTAATGGCGTAAAGTTCTTGAGGCAGCAGACGCCCTCTGGGATCTTGCTCCTGTTACCATTTGTCATGTGTTAGCCTTGACAGCTGGGCATCAGCAAGCTACTGTGAGGAGGAGGGGGTGGGGGGTATTTGAGGCAGATAACATACTCATTTGCTGATGTTCCAGTGTGTGTTCATGGATGGTGGGTGCACTGTGAATGTTAGATCATTGCAAGTTATTCAGAACTGGTTTTGTTTCTGTCCATTCAGAGGGCAAAACCATCAGCTGAGATGGTGATGATCGACAGGATGTTCATTCAAGACGAAAAGGTGGCTCTGGTGGAAGCTAAGCAACTGGCCAGAGAACGTCCTGGTGAGATGTTTCTTGAAATCTAGCTAGGGTCATAAGGCACTAAAATGTACATTGGAACCTCGGTGAGGATATAAAATTATGATGTAACTTGACATTTGAGCATAAGTATTGTAGCATTTCAGCACTGTATGAAGCACTAATAGGTTTCAGAACACTTTTAGGTTTCAAAAACACTTAATTTAAACTTTGTAAACTTTGATGGCTGGCTTGCATTTTATAAATTTAAAAAGCAGATGATCCAGGCTTAAACTGGATCAGTGCTAACACCAATCCTTATATTGGCTTGGCTAGCATTGTAAACCGGTTTATTTTCTAAAGATTGTGATCTCCTTCAATCCTATTCCCATGACCAATCCCTATGCTTTGCAAACTAGCCTCCTTCATGTCACCCTCCCCCAGCCTGCGCCATCCTACCACAGGTGAGTTTAAGATATGTTGGTCCAACTCTCTGAAATGGGAAGGGAAAACCAGACAGGATTCCTGCTACGGATTCCTCTACAGCACCCTCTGCGAGTAGTATACGTATGTGAGTCAGGCTCAGCTGTGACACCCTTTTCCAGATGAGCAGCTTGCTGACATACAGTGACAAAACTCACTCACAACCAATGGCTGAGGGACCGGAGAGCAACTGGAGTTTATGGTACTGCACCCAGCAAAAGGAGGCCAGACTAGAAGCAGAACGTGATATACATATGCTAATGGCGAGAAAAAATATAAAAGGACAACTAAATGTTTATTGAAAACAGTCTTCAATTGTGCTTTTGGGCACCTACCTCCCTTTGAGCTTGAGTTCCCATTCCATCTTTTCAACAAGCTTTGAGACGTTCTCCTGCATAAATGATGGTGCACAAAGTGTAAAATTATTGACCAATTATTGTTGTAAGATCAGAAAATCTTGCCTAAAAGTATTTTTAATATTGATGGTTCTAAGTGTTTTTTTGTTGTTGTTCATAGATGCATACATCTCATCAGTTTTCAACCCCAGCACTCTACCATCATCTTCCTGCTCTTCTGCAGCTTCAACTGATCTTGTTCAAAGTTCAACACAGATCAGTGCCACAAAGCTAGTTATCAAACAGGCAAGGAACTCACCATCGGTCACCTGGGCAACAGGGTCTCCATTAAGTAATGCAGAGATTGATGTACTTCCGAGTAGATCCAAACCTCTGAAAACCTACGTTGCCAGTAGCAGAGGTGGTCTCAAGCTGAAGATAAAGCATGAGGCAGGTTGCAGTAAGGTGGTCCACAACACAGCATTAGACCAGCTTTCCCTACCAGTCATGAGTAGCTTATCGGAGAAAAGCCCCAGCAATCTACCTGTGACGCCCCTTAGCCAAAGCAATGGAAATGTGAACTGCATGGCATCTCCAGCTGAGAAACGCCAACAAGAATGTTTGAACCACAGGGATGTTCAAGCACCAAAGGACTACCTTAACAGCCTTGATGGTTTTACAAAAAGTGAGCAGGATAGTCTCAGAAATTCTCCAAATTTGGTACCTGACCAAAGTAAGAGGATTTCCCACCCAAAGAACAGCTGTGGGTTTAAAAGATCAATTAAATATGAAGTCAACCAAAAAGCTGCTATGAGATCAGGTGGAATGAAAGACAGTCCTCTGTCTCTGGTTACAAGTGACAGAACTGAAGGAAATGGCTTTCCAGACCTTATAGTGAACAAAACCGAGGTTATCTCTGAGGAACTACTGGTAGGAAAGACGGATGATAGCACAAGTAATCTGATGAAGGAGCTCGCAGCAGTAGAAGACGCACTCGCACAGGGTCTGATGAAGATCGAGTCAGCAGACGAGGTGCCTGACTTGCGCTGGGAGTTGCCGCTTTCCCAACCCAAGCGCCGCAAGTCTGACTCCGTGGATAATGCAAGCTTCTCCAGCGACAGTCCCCAGGACAGTACGCTCAATGAGCACTTGCAGAGCGCGATTAACAGTATCCTGGACCTACAGAGACTTCAGCACTCGTCTGAGGAGCAAACCACTACCAACAACCCTCCTGATTCAGCAGAGATGGATATCCCTCAATTCTCTCCTATGGCTTCCTCAGAAGACTTCATTGAACCAGAAAGTCACGGTGGCCTTGTTGGAGCCGGCACCTCCACTTTGGAAGAAGCAGTGAACAGTATTTTAGACGACTAGGAGAATATCGAAAAAACACACAAAAAAAGCGCTTATCAGGAAAAACAAGCTTAGAAACTATGCTTATTTTTAATAAAAAAAATTGGCTCGCATTTTGTGATGATGTATTGGAAGTTGTAGATTCAAGTGCTGTTAGGGCTTTTTGGACAGTGCCTACACAGGTTATTGTACAATGCCAGTTGTGTAGAAAGGTCACGCAAGGCATAAAATCAAGCAATCCATTTTATAACAATCAATGTCTACACAACTAGTGTCATACAATAGCATATTTATTAAAACACTCTGGTAAGGATTTCTAGACAAATCAGCGAATGGTTTCACAATGTAAGCTCCTCAACTTTTCATTAAGCATTGGGCAAGGAAAATGACTGGGTTATGCAAGGAACTTTTCTTTATAAAGTCGCTGGCTGACTGTTTAATATGGTAAGGCAATATCATAGCCCAGTCAATGTAATTCTAAGTTTTAATTCCTTTGCATGTTTCCACATGAATTAAATCACATATATATTGGTTAGCGTTAATGACCGTATTCTATATAATTGCGCTCTTTTTTCCCCCCAGATTCACTAATGATTATTTTGCTAGTTAAGAAAAAAAATCATTGCCTCAAATCAAATTGGCATTCACACGTTGATGGGGCTTGTTTTTCTATTCAAAGTTGCATATGTCGTATTTATAAAGATGTTAACTTAGATCATTTTACTATCCATTGGTAGCACTTGTGTGGACAACGGTTGTTGTGGAAGATGTACTGTGGAGGTGTTCAAGGTTGTTCATATCATTGAAAGATGAAGATTCCTTTCTAAAGCAGGATGTTACAAAAACACAACTATTATATATTTTTGGTTTCCTTGAATTTTATTTTCGTTCATTGAGGATCTTCCAATTGATATTTAATGTCGAGAGTTACTTTTGTATTTTATTTCCAGAAGAGTTTTTTTTTGTTGCACTTTTTCAGGGATAAGCGATTTTTGCTGTGATCATTATAACTTCATCCTAGGATGAAATGCAAAATATTGCTGTGATTCCATGTGTTTACCTCAGTTTTAGGTTGCTCCAGTCCATCATTAGTTTTGCTAGGGAGATTTCTCCCAACCCATGCCCCGGAACACCACAGAGAGCTAATATAATATTTTTGCCTATGAAGGAATGCTATAAAATGAGCACTTTTTCAAGCATAGTTTGAAAAGGACGCACTTTTAATATCTAAGTAGATTCATATTGCAATAACTGCACAATTTAAACAAAGTCAACTATCTGTTCATAACACTTTAAAAACAAATAGTAGATCAAACAAATTGATGATATGTTGCCCATAATTTTAATTTATGACTTGGCCATTCGGATTCTTAAAGCTTCTTTTAGTAAAGTTATTTCCAAATGTAAGGGTTTTTTCTATTGCTAAAATTAATAACTCGAGGTAGGGACGACTGTGAATTTGAATTGAACTTCGTGAATATTCAAGGACTGTTGTAGAAAAATCTGCAGGAAGTTGAACAGAACAAATTGCAGTAGATTGCTTAAATTATTTACGCAAAAATAACTGCAGAATGGTAGGTGACTTCAGAGATCACTTATTTTGAAAACTACAGTACAATAAATCTGAGCTAGGAGTATTAAAAGAATTGCCAGCTCATCTCAAAAAGTATTATTTAAATTTAGTTATTTCTGTTTATTTCACTACGCTTCTCCAAAAAACAAAATGCTGATATAATTTGTGTGTCTCTTGCATCTTCAATATTTGTGCTGATTCAGAGCCTTTTAAACCAGTATAACATTCCTCTGCAGAGAATTCAAAACCTTTTTCTGGGAGCTGAGATATTTCTGACGGCGTTTTGAGTTATAATTAACGAATGCGTCTAAATGTGTGTTTTTAAAAACAAATGAAATATATATCGTGAGCCTAATTTTTATGATGACTGATCGCTCTTATCATGTCCTTACAACAAATTATTTTCCCAATAAAGTTAAAGAAATCTGATCTTCCTTCATCTTGAGATTTGCTGTTCACAAAACACCAAGACATACTTCCCTCAGGTTATTTGCATTGTTGTGACATTGTTGACTTGTTGAAAATGATTAGCAGGAAAAATAAGTATTCACCCTGACTGATTTTTTTAAATAAAAGTTTTCGTTGTGAATGTGGAGTGCACAGTGCAAATATCTACTATGAATTCTGGGCTATCCAGCAGCAAAAGCACTAAGTTAATACCTTTTAAATCCACTCTCTTTTAGAAAAAATAATCAAAAATGGTTTCTAGAAGTACTGAAGACTGTTTACAACAAAATAAAATGCTGGAACGATAGTTTGAAAGGCAAGTTCTGATCTTATTATCAGTTGTGTTCTTGTGACTATTCCTTTTTTCCTTTAGCAAAAAGTGTAGCAAACGTAGCAGTGTTTTGGCCCAGTGTTAATTCACATGCTCAGTAGTGTTTAATGAAAGTGTTTTGTGAGATTGGAACATTTTACATTATTACAGCTCATGAGTGCAGTGCTCATGAGATATGTTCTCATGATAGTGGTTAAAAAAACAATTTTTGTGAAATTTTCAATTCAGAGTAAACCATGGTTGTGTGTGACAAGCGGTCTATGTGACCTGGACTGAGCTGCCCTCCAATACATTGCAGATTGCTTTATTTATCCAACCTCCCACAATCAAATTGCGGTTTTGTTTGGTCAGCCGGGTGACTGACACATGCGGAAACCCATCACCATGCTTAAGAGTATCCAAACCAAGCTGAGGTATCCATTGCATCTTTCCTGCACGTGGAAATCCCAGAGATAGATTGTTGGAGTGGAATGCACACTCTACCTTGGAAGGACGCCTCCTGTTTACCTAATTCCAGAAAGTGTTAAGAGAATTGTGTGATTAGAAAAGTGACAATTATCTCAATGATGCAAGGGAATGTCATTACTAGTATATTTTGTTCTTTTTATAAAACACCCTCTGAGCATGTTTTTCACACTGCATCAACATGCTGTTTGCAATATGATGTGGACAATTTTTTTTTAAAACAGTGATAGGAATTGCCTCGCAAGGAAATGAGGTTCTAACCTGGTTTCGCTTGCAGATGCCATTGTTATATAAGTTATATCTTTTCTGGTGTGTATGTTTGTCTCTCAAGCTGGGCTCAGCCGTGGCTGTTTCTGTGTTTCCCTAAAGATGCATTTGTTTACTTTTCAATGTGTTGCTTGTGTTCTTGACAGAGTTGGTCCAGTAGTTTTAATTGTGTCATTGCATTCCAATGTATCAATATTCTGTCCTTGTTAGGGTTTCTGTCCTTGTGTTGTAAACATGCAAATTGCTTAATCTTCAGGTAAAATACATTTGTGCATTGGACGGAGGTCTTCCAGTACACATTGAGCCATATGTCATGTCAGTTGTGTATATAATTAAGGAATACATTTTATTACTTTGTACAGGAAGGCAAGACTTTTCAGCCAATTCTGAGGCCTTACTCGAAACACATAGGATTGTCAATATTGTCAATAGTGGGTGAACAGAATAATTCATTGTTCGGTTGGCTGTATAGTATTAAATCTCTTACCTTAAACAAATGAACATTTTGTACACATTTTTATTAAGCTATTTATTAAAATGCCATTTTCTAATAAATGAGGAAAATGTGAAAGATACATTGCCTTGAACTGCTCATTTTGTTTCACTTCTTGTTTAAAAAAAATTGTATAAATCCAAACAACCATTGATGACTGGAACCACGGAATAGTAGGACATTAACTTGATTCTTTAAATTCTGCTGAGTTTTTTGATGGGGAGGGATCGTGGCGAGAATCGGTGGATAATCTCCATTAACAGCTCTCCTGTGCCTCCTGTTGGCTAGCCTCGTGCACTGCTGTGACTTGGAAACGGTTGCATTTTCTATCCTAATGATGCAGCTGGTGTTTTGCTCTGGACATTTCCAATTGAGTGATTTGTTCAACTGGATTTTGAGTCAAATGTCTCAGTGGCCCAAAATTGGACACTCACTCCATGGCTATGGGTTATTGCTATGCACAAACTGGCCGCAACATTCGCCTACAAAATGCACACTTTACAGTATATCCTGTGAAGCACTTCAAAACATCTTGACATTGTGATAAAGCAGTATATCAAACGCAAGGATTATTAAAATTATCTGAATTCTGAGAGTAAAGCTTAGAAAAGCACTAAATATAATGGTGTTATTGAATCCTGTAGTGTATTATTTAGAGCACTCGCCTTGCAAGCAAGAGGACCTAGGTTCGATTCCTGGGCAGGTGAAACTTTAGGCAAGTTTCCTTACTCCACATGCCTCTGTTTACCTAACAGTAAGTAGGAATCCAGTTGTAAGTTGATTGGTGGATTGCTCTTCTGGGGGTAATAATCTCTTCAAAAATAATCCACAACTATTTGTGGGACACTGCTGTGCGCAATTGGTTGCTGAGTTTCGTCCACAAAATATATAGTCAATTCACCTTACATTGTATTTTGTGAAGTGCTTTGAGACGTCTCGAAGACGTGATATGGTGCAAGGATTATTATAATTGTTAAAAGATGAGCAATAATAATGTTAGAATGTTATATAATAATAATAATGCAAGGATTATAATTGTTAAAAATGAGCACCTATGTGACTGAGATTTGAGAATAATTGACAATCAAACAATACCTTTACAATCCAATTTTAATTCCGTTAATGATAGTTACTTGGATTACTTTGTGTGTTCAGGATAAACTGATCTCTGAGGATGGGGAGAGAAATAGTCTCGAGTTGGTAACAAGACTGGCAAGTTTCCGGAGCTTTTTTCTGTTAACACAAGGTGGCGCAACAATGCAATCATCCAAAAGAGTCGTGTTTAAAATGTCTTGCACTAAGTAAATTTAACAAAAATGTTCCTCCAAGTCTTGTTTTTTTTAGCATTGATCAATCACATTGATAAATGGAGGCGATGTACAGATCCAAATAGAACCATAGAACTCAGCAGCTCATGTCCTCTGCCGCACCAGGCTCGTGACCCCATCACACCCACCCTCGCCCGGTTCCACTGGCTCCCGATCCCTCAGAGGATCGAGTTGAAAATACTCATGCTCACCTTCAAGGCCCTCCATGGCCTTACCCCCTACAACCTCTGACCTTCTAACCCTTTATCAACCTCTCCGCTCAGCAGCCTCGGGCCTGCTTCATGTCACCAGCACATCCCCAGCCCGCCCCACCATTGGCAGTCGGGCGTTCAGCCTCTCTGCCCCCACCTTTTGGAACTCCCTCCCACATTCCCTTCGCCTCCCTCCCCTCCTTCAAGGTACGCCTTAAGACCCTCCTCTTCGACTATGCCTGTGGCTACCTTTTGCCCTCCATCCTCCCTGATCCTAACTCCCCCCACCCTCCTCCCGCTTGGGTCCAAATTCCTAATCCCTGTCTGTTAAATGCCTTGAGACGCTCTCCCAACATGAAAGGCACTTTACAAATGTAATTTTGCATTGTAGTACAGGATTGGAAATAACAAATTGTATTTTTACAAGGGGTGGGTCATTATATTGAAAGATCACAGCTACTTATTCTTAAATGTAACAGC